TTAAGTATTTATCGATGAGAAAGAAAGAAAAAATTGTGTCTGTGTGTTTACTATGTGCCAGGCACTTACACTTGCTATTATACCTACTCCTCACAACTATCTCATTATCCAACATTTTGAATTGACAATAGTAAAAACTCTACCATCTGACTATTTTGCATGTTAACAACATACATCTGGCAATAACAAACACCAAGTTTCAAGGCAAGAGTGATACTGGCTGTGATGGTTAAGGTTATGTGTCAACTTGGTTGGGCCATGATTCACAGTTATTAATGATGTAATTTAGAGTTATGTAATGATATTGTCATCCTCTATTTTCTCAAAATGCTGGTTTTTGCATATTGATCTGGTCTTTGGAATCTAACCATGTCAATAAGTGAGGAGTGGGTGTATTTTTAATCTTCACAACAATAATAATTATTTTTTATCTATTTTGCATATACAGAAACCAAGGCTGATAGGAGTTGGGTAACTTCCTTCAGATACTCAGTATACGTTTATTGAGTGACTACTTTGTTCTAGATAGATGGAAAACAACAGTGAACAAGACGGTGATCTCTCATGTAACTTACATTGTAGCTGGGGATACAGACAACATACAGACAATATAATTACAAACTTTAGTAAGTGTATGAGGGACATAACAAAGTCCTGAAATAGACCATTATAGGAGGGTGGGAAGATTTTTTAAAAGGGAAAGTTGAACTAAGATCTGAAGAATGAGAATTGACGTGTCATGCAAAGAGACAAAGGAAGAGTTCCTAGCAGAGGGAAGAGCATCAATAACTGGCTGCCGGAAAGAATTTATACGCTCTGGAGTATAGTTGTGAGCTATGTGGAAAGTAGGTGGAGTTGATATTGGCATAGGTAAGGTCTAGATCATGAAGTCCTTGCAGGGTATGGCAGAGTTTGAATTTTATTTGAAGTACATTGAGAAGCCACCAAACAATACCAAACTCTCTGCCGTCAAGTCGGATCCGACTCACAGCGACCCCTCCTTAGGTTTCCGAGGCGCTATGACTACGGAAGTAGATCGCCAATCTTCCTTCCTCCGAGTGGCTGGTGGATTTGAACCGCCAGCCTTCTGGTTAGCATTCAAATGCCTTAGGCAAATGTGTAAACAGATGAGAGGGACGAGGTGGTTTTTTTTTTTTTTTTAAAGGACCCCTTCTCTGTTGAGTGAACGCACTGGGGATGGAGAACGAAAGCAGAAGTAGAGAAATCTGTAAAGGAGACTGACGATAGTGGTCCAGGGAAGAGATGAAGGGGGCTTGGACGAGGGTAGCGGCAGAGGGGAAGCCACTGGAGAGTGAAGGAATGAAAGGTCCTGTTTAGTGCCACGTGTCCAGATTAAAAAAGATGAGGATAAAGGAGTTAAAGAGTTCTGTTTTGGGTATGTTTGACACGCTTGAAAGCCATCCTAAGAGATGATGTCAGTAAACATCTTGCTATGTATAATGGAGGTGCCCAGTGGTCTGAGCACTAGATGTTTCCCTGGAGAATACGGGGAGGTGGGGAGAGAGAGGGGGAGGCAGAGGAGGGGGGAGAGAGGGGGGAGGGGGGAGCAGAGAGGGGAAGGGGTGAAGAGAGGGGAGGAGGGGAGGAGGGGAAGGGGAGGGGAGGTGGAGGGGAGGAGGAGGAGGAGTTAAGGAACAAAGAAACCTGACGGCAAATGGGTTAACACTCAGTGCTAACCAAAAGCTTGGTTATTTAAACCTACCCAGCAACCTGGTGATCAGCTCCCGCAAATATTACAGTTTAGAAAACCCTATAGGGCAGTTCTACTGTCACTAGGGGTCGCTAGGAGTCGAAATGTTCTCGATAGCACCTAAAAACTGAAGAAATATTGAGAGGTAAGAGCTTTCCACTCTGCCAGGCCGTTGCCTTTGCTAAGAAACTAAAACAGTATCTAAGTTCCTGTGGGCTAAATGTGGCCCAGGAGCTAGCGCCAGAAGCCTACTAAAAGTAAGGTTCAAGACTCAGTATTTCCCGGGCCTTCAAATTATATCCAACCTGGCAAAGAACGCAAAGGGCAGCCAACATGTTCATAGAGAACCTACGGAAAGCCGGAGGCCAATGACGGCAGGCGGAATCCGTCGAGCACGGCATGCTGGGATGTGTAGGCTGACGGGAGACGGGTGTGTGCGTAACCTCCTAGCGAGTCAGCTGGGTACTGTGCTTTGTCGTTTCAGAGCAGCGCGTCCCTGAGTTGCATCAGCCTGCAGAGCGGCTGTCCTAAAACGCAAATATGATCTTGCTTTCTGGCTTGGAATCATTTAGCAATGACTTTTCACCAGGTGAAGAGTAAATTCAGCCCTTTAAATGACATTCAATGCCCATTTCCTCACGATTTGGTTAGTGATAGCATCGTCTCTTCATACTATTCTGGAAGGCGTCTCGATTTGGACCTCTCCAAGCGTGTTTAGACCCCTTTCCTCTGCACTACCAATAGCATTCTCTCACAATTTTCTAGTATTCCAGGCCACCCTTTTCTGAGCGGTATGTTCTAGACACAGTCTAAACTCATCAATTCTCATGGTTATTGTTATTTTTACTTTGCAGATGAGGACATTTTGGTTTAGAGATTTTATGCAACTTGAGCAAGATCACCCAGTTGGAAAGTGAAGAAGCTATAATTTGAACGTAGTTTGATTCGCAACCTGAATGTCATGCTGAATCGTCACACTGCTTGCTTCTGCTTCTCTCTCACTGGACTAGAACTCCCGGCAGGAGAGTACAGACCAATTTTCACATTTCCGCGGGCCACGCCCTGAGGGCGGGTCTTCAATGACGACTCCGCATCCCATGGTGCTTTGCGCACCCGCACCGCGATTGGCCTAGCGACTCGGCTCCTTTTTCAAATTGAGGCGCGGAGTCGTTGCTTGGTTTCCCGAAATTCGGGAGACGACAGGATTGGTGACTCTGTGACTGTGGCTGGTGCAGGAAAGAAGTTGCGGCCTGTCAGAGCTCCTGGTGGAGACCAGGAGCGACAAATCGCGTGCATCGGTTACCCCGGACGCTACAGCAACCTGCAGGGGAGGTGGTCAACCCGGCTCGCGTCGGCCTCCTAGCCCCTCCGCGTCTTGCAGTACCCGAACCCGCAGCCAGACTTTGCTTTTAAGGCGGGGACCGTCATGGCGTCCCAGCTGAATTCCTCCGCGAAGAAGAAAGAGGAAAAAGGGAAGAACATCCAGGTGGTGGTGAGATGCAGGTAGGGCGAAGCTGGCTCAGAATTCTGAGCTCCAGGGCTTTGCTCCTTAGTTATCGAGCGCTGTCCTGGAAGAGGGATTTTTTTTTTTTTTTTTACATTCCCCGAGGTGACTAGTGTTCTGTTCGATAAAATTGATACTAGGTTGCTGTGATGAGTACTGTCTGTTTTCCAGGAGAAAGTAGGAATGTTTGTTATTGGAGTATATTTAAACTGGTACTCACAAGGCGCATTTAATCCTCGTTATTTAGTGAAAAGCACATTCTTGTTTTTGAGACTTAGTTCGATGGATTATGTTTCACTTTTATGTGCTGTTCCATGCAGTTTGTAGGTTTGTAAATAAGGCTGCACACCTTCTTTGCAGATGCTTTAGCACTTACGTTGTGATTATCATCGCCTTCATCTCTAAAAACGTAATCATCTGCTCTCTTAACTATTATACGTATTTTCTTCATCACTAGTAAACAAGTAAACATCACTGTATTTAAACTTTAAAAACTAAGTTGTAAGGTGAATTTTTGTCTTAAAAGATCAGTGAGACAGTTTGAGACAGTATAAGTATCTAATTTTACTGCAGTTTGGTTTTCCCTTTCATTTGCCTGTTGATTCATAGACAATCGGAACCGACACAGCTTTTTCAGGAGAGTGTAGGTGTGTGTATGGGGTTTAACTCTACCCTAGTTGGTTTCCAAGTAACTTTTTAGTTTAAAAATGAACTAGTAAAGAGCATACTTGTAGAAATTGCTACTTAATTTGAGATTGATTTATTAAGTTTTTTAGAGGTCCTGCATATTTACTGTTTGTTGTATACTGTTTTGTGTCTGTTTTTGTCGCTTTAAACAGTACCAACAACTATCTTTGCAACTTTTCTATAAATCTGAAAGAATTCTGAAATGAATAAAGGTTGTTAACAGAAATTATGTCAGCAAACTTTCTTACTTAGTTCTGGTGAATGGAATTGTAGGTATCAAAGGTGATAGCTAGGTTGCTAAACTAGGTGTGAGAGAGATTTTTTGGTGATAAGCTGAAATCTAGCCAATTGCACTTAACAGTTGCTCTTTGGGGCTGCTGTTAATAGTTACTTGTTTTGAAGATTTTTTTTTTTTTTAACAGCCTATGTTGCAAACACAAATGTTTAGATGGTTTTGGTTGTTATAAAAGCCAAGGATATGATTTCTTTTTTCGCTGTTAGAAAATATTTCAGATCTATGACGAGTTTAAAAGAACAATGTACCAAACATCTGTGTATCTACCACCCAGATTAAGAAACAAAACAATCATTACACTAGAGGGCCCTGTGTATCCCTTCTCATCCCTCCTCTTCCATCCAGAGTTGGTATTTATCATCCTTATACAGGAGCCCTGGTGGCATGGTAGTTAAGCACTTGGCTGCCAACCGAAAGGTCTGCAGTTCAAAACTGCTGCACGGCCATTGAGGATGAGAAAGACATAGAGAGGTACGTGGGA